TAACTTTTGCAAGATCAGGAATGAGGGGCAGAGACTATGTTCTATAAAAAGTAACGCATGAATATTTCTGAATATATATACTATAATAATTGCAGAATTTTCTCATATACAGTATATGACAAAATTCTGCAATTAATGACTTTTACAGACTGGCTGTTTTGGTGCATGCTGAATTGGGCTATAAAAGGTCAGTTGAGGTCAAGGGGAAGAAGTGATGCTCCAATTGGTATACTCCTCCTGTCCAAATGGCATATTGAATTTTGGCTCATTTCATTGTCAATGTCCTCCATCATAGAGAATCCTACTGGACATATCTACTTATACCATCAGGGGAAGCACTTAATTGACAATGGAATGAGCCAAAGTTCGATATGCTGTTTGGACAGGAGGAGTATACCAGTTGGGGCATCACTTCTTCCCCCTAACGTCAACCGACCTTTTGTAGCGCAATCCAGCATGCACCAAAACAGACTGTCTGTAGAAGTCATTAATTGCAGAATTTTATCATATACTGTACTGTATACCTTACTTTTTATAGAACATAGCCTCTGCCCCTCATTCCTGATCTTGCAAAAGTTACTGTTTTGGACCTCAGATCCCAGATCCCATCCCACCCCTAGCAGCATGGCTAGGATTGCCATAAAGTGAAATGTGACCAAATGCCGCCAGAAGAAGGGGCTGTTAAACCACTTCTCAGTATTTCGTATCTATAAAATCCTAGGAATGTCACTATATGTCAGAATTGATGTGACTGCATATAATTATCAACTTAATAAAGTCAATTTCCTCTTAGAGCTTTCAATGTATAAAGTACTCAGAAGCTGTTTACTGGTTCCTCATTCTGGTGGCATTTTGGGGCCATTCAGTTCATCCACGGCCACACAAGTAGCAGAGAAAGGGACCCCATCAGTCACACACACTCCATGTGACCTTGGCTGGTCCTCCCCTGGGAAGCACAGTGAGGATTCAGATTCCACCCACAGCCAGTGGCTCTATACCCAGAAGCTCCAACCTGTTGAGCTGTACAAGCTCCCGGGCTTTCATATGCCATCAGATTATTTTGCTGTTTTTAAGCATTATCAAGACAGGACAACCCCCCCTCCCCAAAAGCCTGTTTCTTTCATGCTGTCAAATTCAGGGGTATTTCCCCCCCCCAACAGTAGAATGCAGGATGTAGTGCACTTAAAAATTTTATTCTGGTATATTTAAAGCCGCCGCGTCTTTGTCTCAAGCTCTTGAAAATTTAAAGATACGAGAGTAACAGGAATGTAGCAAAGATGCAATTTGGGTTATCTTTGTGCAGCTTTCTTGTGCTTTCCTACTTAAAATGTGTCAAACACTGAAAGCCTGTGCACAGATGGACCTTTACTGAGGCCTTGCAGACAGGAGCAAATCTCTGATTGTGCAGGGAAATAAAATCGACCCCAGCTGAACACAGCAATTGTTCATCCATTGGGTTAGCAGGGCGGTCTTCCTCCTCAGGCTCCATCAACAACATGAATGCCTACTTTTGCATCTGGATTCACCCACCATTTGTTGCTCTGCCTTCGATCCCGCTAACCAGCTGCCACTGACTAGACCCACTTTTTTCCCTAGTGCTCATGTATATTTCGATGTGCATACAGGGTTAGTTGTCATATAACAGAATGGCCTACAGAAAAGTCAAGGCCCTTAGTTTCCTTTTTGATGATATCTTTCAAACCTGTGCTGCTTGAAAGATTCTGGGAGATGTAATTAAAAAGAAGAAGAAGAAATAATTCCAAATTCTAGAAACAATGTAATATATGAAAGGACAGCACTGACACTAAAGGACAGCCATTAGTCTAATGATTTTCTACAGATACAGTAATGCTGATGCACACATAGAATTCCTGAGCATCCCTCTCCCATGCTGCTTCATTAATTTTATGGGAGACAACAGATTCTTATGCTTCCACTGAACTGAACTTGGTCTGAGGTTTTGTCTTGACACGTGTTGCCTGGAGTGTGATGTGCATTTAGCCCCACATTTTTTATTTTACAGAGATTTAGGCTTTGAGCATGGAAAACTTACTTTATGGGGCAACAGTTCCCAAAAATGATGGTCAGTTTGCACAATTTGGCTTTGCGTTTTCATCTGTACCAATGGAAGAGGTGAATTCCTCCTTCATCCTCTCCTTTTTCTAAGTTAAATATAGATAAAGGTTCCCCTTGACATTTAGTCCAGCCGTGTCCGACTCTAGGGGGCGGTGCTCATCCCCGGTTCCAAGCCATAGAGCCAGCGTTTGTCCGAAGACAGTTTCCATGGTCACGTGGCCAGCACAACTAGACACAGAACACCATCACCTTCCCACCGAGGTGGTATCTATCTACTCACATTTTTTCAAGCTTTTGAACTGCTAGGTTGGCAGGAGCTGGGACAAGCGACGGGAGCTCACTCCATCCCGTGGATTTGATCTTACGACTTCTGGTCTTCTGACAGAGGCTTCTGCGGTTTAACCTGCAGCGCCACCACTTCCCGTAAGCTGAATATAGGGCTTGTCAGTTCCATAATGCCACAAAAGAAAGATGAAAGAGGATATATATTTGCACATTGATGAAGGTTGTGGTGGTGGTAGTGGTGAGGATAATGATAACAATGAATTAATGTACATAAACAATATTAGGTTATTTGAAAGTTCTCCTGATAAACTAAATAGTATCTTAAATATCATTAAGCCTTACAGTGTATATACCAAAATGAATTTTCGTGTTGATAAATATTTACAAGAAAAGAGGCAAATTCTCAGGGGGCAGTAACTACAATCTCACTAATGAACAGTTTATTCAGTTCTTTGAAGAACAGAAAACCTATAAGTATCCACAAAAATCTCAATATAAACCACAAGGAACTTAAATTGTTATAGAGGAGGAAGTACTTTGATAGAGTGAAGATCATACTCAAAACAGAACTGGATACAAAAGGAAAAATTACTATATTAACCGCTGGGGAACTCCAATGTTAACATATTCTGTTGCAATGGTGTACTAAAAGTACAATGATCTTTAACATTTAAACACAAAAATGCAAGTGTTCCTATGAAAATACCAGTGCAATCATCCAAAAGTATGTACAGAGAGCCTTTATTTGCCATGGAGCATGGAGGTGTATGGCTCTCCTGACCTGAAGAATCTCTGTCTGAGTCCAATAGACAAGCTTCAGAATAATTTCCATGGGAGCACTGGTTTGTTTCATCCAACAGCAGTAGAAAACAACAAAGGACTAAAAGTATTACTACTTGCAAATGAGAAGCTACTGAAAGACCTGCAGCACAGGGATGCATAGCCTGAGAAATCATTACAGGGACAACACCTCACTTATCTCCTAGATCAGACGTGGGCAATTAATTTCTATAGGGGGCCACATGAAAAATCTGAACTGAGTTAGGGGGCCGAACCAACTTTACTTAAAAATAAAAGATAAGCAACTGATCAACTTTAGACAAAAAGCTATAAATGGTTTTGATGTTCCACTTGTTCAGTGAGAGAAATCCAGTCTGTTTTGGGCTTGAACAAGAGCTTGAACACCAGACTGGAGCGACGACCGGCGGGCTGGACAGGAGCGGCTTGCGGGCCGCATGTGGCCCTCGGGGCTGCACTTTGCCCAGGTCTGTCCTAGATGATAATGTTGGTAAGCAGCAATTGAACCTGTGGCTTAAATAAGACCATTTTAAGGCTGAATCGGAGGGATTCATATATACAATCCAAGCCCAAGTTATTTGTGCTGGATATTATCTGAAAATAATTATGAAGCAAGGTGTAAGGGATATATGTAGTACCTGTAATGAATCCATAGAAACAATTCATCATATCATAGCTGGATGCCCTAAGCTAGCATCAACATATTATATGTGCAATCAAAAGCTACAGTGGTGCCTTGACTTACGAACCTAATCTGTATTGAAATGGTGGCTGTAAGTCAAAACGTTCGTAAGCCAAAGCAACATTTCCCATAGCATTGAAAACCGATTAATCCGTTCTGACCGAAGAAAAAAATATCACTGGGACTGGGAAAAAAAAAAATCCGTTCTGGCCAAAGAAAAAAATACCATTAAAAAAACCTGCAAGTCCCACACTGGGACTTAAAAAAAAAAACACCAGAAACTGCCCAGAACAACTTTTTTAAAAGAAAAAAAGCAGCAGCTTACTGGTCTGAAGACTCCCAAGGGGTTTGGCGCCACCGCGATTGCCACCCTCTGAGGCCTCCCAGGGTAGGGTTGCCAGATACATGAGTACAAAAAAGAGGACATAGAAAGCTAAAAAGCAGGACAAAGGAGGACATATTGGGGGGCTCTGTGCACAGGGGTGGGATGGGGGGGCATGTCCCTTTTGGAATTAGGTACTGGGAAGAATAGCTCTTTGATCATAGGGCAATACCATAACCATTCAACCTACTCAATCTTGAAAGGTCAAGACTGGGCAAGTTACATTTTTGGACTACAAAACTCAGAATCCACTGGCCACTGTGATTTCGTGTTTTTAAAAATGTTTAAAAATTAAAACAAAACAAAACAAATCTACATATACACTTACTCGGCTCCGAGGACCAAAGGAGACAATCTATTCCTTCCTTTAATGGAGACCCATCCCCCTTGTTTTATTTAAATAGAAATAGAAATTAAAGACATTTTCAGTAGAGCTGAGAAGACTGGGCCCAAATGATCCATGTTCTTGTTTAGGGGTTTCCATATGCTAAGTATCCATTCTGCTCATCGTTCTTATTGCTCTTTATCTTTAAATTAGACTTAGACTGAATGGTCCTTAAAACAGATGACATGCTCTAACATGGACCTTTAAGACAGGAACCATGCCCTCTGGAAAAGGATTTGTGGCCAACTATGATACCTTTGAGCTAGGAATGATCTTGTATGAACTTGGCATGTTTCACATTGTTTTTGTGTTCATTTTCACATGCACACACATAATGGAAATTTAGGTTTTATTCACAGATATTGTCCTGAATCCTTTTTTTTTCCTTTCAGATTTTTCGACGAGCTGACAAGAATGGTAAGTGATCTGCTGCATAATTTCTTGGTGCTGCTTCTTCAGTTATTCTCATTTAAACACATAGTCTTCGCCTCCCCACATCTTCTTGACAGCTAAGGATGGGCAGCAATGCACTTAATCCAGCATCCAGTACTTAACATAGCCTTTCAAAAATAGAATTTAAAAACGCCTTAATTTCCATTCTGTCTCTTCTTCAAGACGCTTATGGTTGACATACATGCTTGCTTCCTCCCCTGATTTCATCTTCACCACAGCCTATGAGGTAAGTTAGGCTAGGAGGTATAATGGGCACTAGGCTGCCCAGTGAGCTTTAGTGATTAATGGATGATACCAGGATCTCTCCACTCTTGGCCCTATAACCACTATACACCATTGATTGTCAATGTTTTCCATATAATCTCCTGCACTGTAAAAACTAACATCTGTGTCGTAGTAAGCCTCTAAATTTGTCACTGGATAACCCAAACATGAGGCATCATGAGTATGAGTAGCCTACCTGATACAGGTCGTAGCCAATGGTCAAGATTTAATCCCCAAACATTACACATCTGCCTCTGTCCCTTGCTGTCTATCACTATGACAGTTGCTGTTACCATTTCCCATATTCGTAGCAATGCATGCTGCTTGCTCTGCAAACCTGAATGTCGATCATTTCTCCTATTTCCATCAGTTCAAGATTTAATCCCCAAACATTACACATCTGCCTCTGTCCCTTGCTGTCTATCACTATGACAGTTGCTGTTACCATTTCCCATATTCGTAGCAATGCATGCTGCTTGCTCTGCAAACCTGAATGTCGATCATTTCTCCTATTTCCATCAGTTCTGCCTGTTGCTGTTGATCTTTTCATTGCCATTCTGTTATCTTCTCTAACCTTTATATCTCCTGCGGCTACTGTGTTTATTTTCTTGTCACTCCTAAGAAACTGGTCTGAATTTTATGATAGGACACTTTTAGTTTTGTTGTGATTTTTGTCAGCTCCTTTGAGCAATTCTTTTTATATGCACATAATATTACATGTATTTTACAATTTAAATCCTCCATATCTCACAAGGCTGGCCATTTTATTCTCAATTTGCAGACAGCAACCAAGGGCCTGCTTGCAGAAACCGGATTAAATAAGTTCACAGAGGTTCTCATTTTCCCAGCATTAAGTTCATGTTAGATTAGATTAGTCATCCTTCAGTCTTGAGAGACTATGGTAACATGCTCTGTATGGAGAACTTGGAACAGTGTCTAGTGTGGCTGAGAAGGCCAATTGGAGAGTGACAATCCCTTCCACACTGAAGACAAATACAATCTGTCCCCTGTCCAGCTCCCTGATTTTCCTGGTTTGCCTCAGCCTGCTGGACAAGGGTCTCTTCAAATTGGGAGAGGCCGTGATGCAACGCCTGCCTCCAGGCCGAACGCTCAGATGTCAGGGTTTCCCATCTGTTGAGGTCCATTCCTAAAGCCTTCAGATCCCGCTTGCAGATCTTGTATCACAGTTGTGGTCTTTCTTTGAGGCAATTTCCCTGCACTAATTATCCATGCAGGAGATCTTTTGGAATCCAACCATCAGTCATTCTCACAGCATGCCCAAGCTAACATAGATGTTGCTGTTTCATTAATGTATACATGCTAAAAATTCCAGCTCGTTCTAGGACTACTCTATTTGGAACTTTGTCCTGCCAGGTGATATAAAAAATGTGTTGGAGGCAACGCATATGGAATGTGTTCAGTTTCCTCTCCTGCCATGCACAAAGGGTCCAGGACTCACTGCAGTACAGGAGTGTGCTCAGGACACAGGCTCTATAGACCTGGA